CTCCGATTGGCTTGTCTAGGCGCGGCATTGAATTCTGATTGGTGAACGGGCCTGGAGTGGGCGGGGAGGCGGAGGGGCTCCTGTGGATTCTAATGCAAATCATCAGAAACTCGGCTCTCTAAGCTGGACTCTGTCCTGGGCGTGGCTTCGACTAGGGAGCGGGGCCTCGGGCTCGCTGGGCGGGACCCGTACTCTGTCCTGGGCGGGGCCTGGACTTGGGCCTGGGCGGGGCTTCACTCTGAGGGACCCGCGCGGTTAGCCCCTCCCTGAGGCTCCCTCCGCTACCGGCGGAGCCATCCTTCTTAAATTCCACCCATTGCTCTCCTGGGGTTACCGAGACCATAGACTAAGGGCACCGAGTGCAACAGGAGGATGTGATGCGGAGAAGATGCATTCCTCTTGGAGGAGAACCGCGGCCTTTCAGCCTTTGAGGACCACTCCTGCTCCCCGACCCCGACCCAAGCATGGAAATGTGACATCACTGCCCCCTCCCGGCTCGCAGGAGCACATACTCCTTCTCCTCCAGAGGCTCGGTGAATGAACTGCGCACCCACCCTTCAGGGCCACGCCCAAAGTGCCCTCCGAGATGGGTGTGGTCCTGGCACCGCGGCTTTATCCGCTAAGGCTGTAGAGGGGATTACTCCAAAACCGACTGGGGTCGTCCTCGAGGCGACTTCTACAGTGCTCCCGACTGACTCCTGAGCCATGCCCGATACCTCGTTTCCGAAAAGCAGAGATGGGAGTAAGCGTCGCTCCCTGTAGGGGAGGCTCAGGTTCCAGGCACGGCAGAGACCCTCCCTCCTCCTGACCCCCCAAGCCCTCCACCGCTCCCTCTGGGACTTCCCTCTCAACGGCCCCCAGTGACACCACCGCCAGCCCCCACGTCAGTACCCCCCAGCGGCTGCACTCACTGCCCCTAGGGTGACGCAAAGCCCCCACTAACCCCACCCGCACAAGAGGTGCATAGCGCCATGGGGGACTGCAAACTGGAGTCTGGTTAGAGGGCGGGTGACCCTGTGGAGGCTGCAGCTTGCATGCTGGCTACCATAGGGGACAGAGAAGGAACTAGAGACAGCGAGAGCTTCACTACTCAGTGGGACAGCGAGTGCTGTCCAGACCTCCAGATCAGCCTTACAGTCCAGGTAAATTGAAAAGGAACTTTCCTACTGATCTTAGTAATATTCAGAATAGATATGGTTTCTATTTGTTATTCATTGTACTTCCAGGTATTTAGTAGCTGCTGCCACAGTGAATGAGATTTTTATCACTAAAAATTTTTGTAAAATACTTACTGACTTTAGAGAAACATCGATTTGCTTGCCTACTATTGATACATTCATTGGTTGATTTTTGTATGTACCCTGACCGAGGATTGAGTCTGCAACCGTGGTGCATCAGGAGGATGCTCTACCTGGCCAGAAATAGCTACCTGGCCAGAGTCCTAAGTAAAATTTATTAGTGAGTAGACATCATTGAACTCTTACTAGTGCTGTTTTATCAGACATTCTTTCACTTTATGTAGGTGATTAGATCATCTGTAAATAATTCCTTTTCCAGTCTTTATGGCTTTTCTTTGGGACTGGATTGCCAATACAAAATTGCTGACTGCTGATGCTATCGATGCAAGTAATTTACCTGACTTTAGACACACATTTTAAGGGCTTTGAACCTTTCCCAGAAGACCTTACACCTTTCCCTGGGAAAGAAACAATAATGAGGAGTACTACTTTAACCTCTAAACAATAGTGCTTTATTGATGAAAGGTTACTTTCAATGGATACAAAATGGCTGTGTAAAATTTTTTCAAAATAACAATTCTATAGGTAAAGAGTATGGCTTAGTAAAAGAACAGTTATCTAGTAGCAAAACTATTTCAGTTTGAGCAATGGGAAAAAAAAAGATTTAAAAGTATAAAGGTGTAGGTCCACCCATCTCACATAACCATTACTAGGTGCAGTCAGCCCCGAATGGTTTTACTCAAACACACACAAGCTTACACAGATCACTTGCAAATGTCCCCCTGCCTCCCTTTAAACAGCTTTTATTAGCAGTTAAGTACCAAAATAACCCAAGTAATTGGCCTTGATGGTACTCTCAAGTTATGGAACACCTTTTCTTGTTGAAAACTTTGCAAAATATGCCTAAACCTAAAGGTTTTGACCATTCACAATAGTTAACAGTGAGGGGCCAAGTTAGCAAAAATACCGTATTATTTTCTGTAGTACACTTTTGTAACTAACATATTTTGACCTCATGTTATTTTTTGACCAAAACCAAAAAACCCTCTTCATTCTCAGATTAAGCATTTTCTCTATTTTAACCCCTCCTGTTATAGCAAAATGAAAATAGTGAACCAGCACCTGCTCCCTCCAGGTCTCCTTTCATCTGTCACTTTCTTTTTCAACTTCAGTAGAAATGTTGAATAAAAGCAGGCCTTGGAGCATCAGCACCCTGGGAGTGCAGAGCGTGAGTGCCACAGTGGAGGATGAAGACACGTACTCTGTCCTGGGCGGGGCCTGGACTTGGGCCTGGACTTGGGCCTGGGCGGGGCTTCACTCTGAGGGACCCGCGCGGTTAGCCCCTCCCTGAGGCTCCCTCCGCTACCGGCGGAGCCATCCTTCTTAAATTCCACCCATTGCTCTCCTGGGGTTACCGAGACCATAGACTAAGGGCACCGAGTGCAACAGGAGGATGTGATGCGGAGAAGATGCATTCCTCTTGGAGGAGAACCGCGGCCTTTCAGCCTTTGAGGACCACTCCTGCTCCCCGACCCCGACCCAAGCATGGAAATGTGACATCACTGCCCCCTCCCGGCTCGCAGGAGCACATACTCCTTCTCCTCCAGAGGCTCGGTGAATGAACTGCGCACCCACCCTTCAGGGCCACGCCCAAAGTGCCCTCCGAGATGGGTGTGGTCCTGGCACCGCGGCTTTATCCGCTAAGGCTGTAGAGGGGATTACTCCAAAACCGACTGGGGTCGTCCTCGAGGCGACTTCTACAGTGCTCCCGACTGACTCCTGAGCCATGCCCGATACCTCGTTTCCGAAAAGCAGAGATGGGAGTAAGCGTCGCTCCCTGTAGGGGAGGCTCAGGTTCCAGGCACGGCAGAGACCCTCCCTCCTCCTGACCCCCCAAGCCCTCCACCGCTCCCTCTGGGACTTCCCTCTCAACGGCCCCCAGTGACACCACCGCCAGCCCCCACGTCAGTACCCCCCAGCGGCTGCACTCACTGCCCCTAGGGTGACGCAAAGCCCCCACTAACCCCACCCGCACAAGAGGTGCATAGCGCCATGGGGGACTGCAAACTGGAGTCTGGTTAGAGGGCGGGTGACCCTGTGGAGGCTGCAGCTTGCATGCTGGCTACCATAGGGGACAGAGAAGGAACTAGAGACAGCGAGAGCTTCACTACTCAGTGGGACAGCGAGTGCTGTCCAGACCTCCAGATCAGCCTTACAGTCCAGGTAAATTGAAAAGGAACTTTCCTACTGATCTTAGTAATATTCAGAATAGATATGGTTTCTATTTGTTATTCATTGTACTTCCAGGTATTTAGTAGCTGCTGCCACAGTGAATGAGATTTTTATCACTAAAAATTTTTGTAAAATACTTACTGACTTTAGAGAAACATCGATTTGCTTGCCTACTATTGATACATTCATTGGTTGATTTTTGTATGTACCCTGACCGAGGATTGAGTCTGCAACCGTGGTGCATCAGGAGGATGCTCTACCTGGCCAGAAATAGCTACCTGGCCAGAGTCCTAAGTAAAATTTATTAGTGAGTAGACATCATTGAACTCTTACTAGTGCTGTTTTATCAGACATTCTTTCACTTTATGTAGGTGATTAGATCATCTGTAAATAATTCCTTTTCCAGTCTTTATGGCTTTTCTTTGGGACTGGATTGCCAATACAAAATTGCTGACTGCTGATGCTATCGATGCAAGTAATTTACCTGACTTTAGACACACATTTTAAGGGCTTTGAACCTTTCCCAGAAGACCTTACACCTTTCCCTGGGAAAGAAACAATAATGAGGAGTACTACTTTAACCTCTAAACAATAGTGCTTTATTGATGAAAGGTTACTTTCAATGGATACAAAATGGCTGTGTAAAATTTTTTCAAAATAACAATTCTATAGGTAAAGAGTATGGCTTAGTAAAAGAACAGTTATCTAGTAGCAAAACTATTTCAGTTTGAGCAATGGGAAAAAAAAAGATTTAAAAGTATAAAGGTGTAGGTCCACCCATCTCACATAACCATTACTAGGTGCAGTCAGCCCCGAATGGTTTTACTCAAACACACACAAGCTTACACAGATCACTTGCAAATGTCCCCCTGCCTCCCTTTAAACAGCTTTTATTAGCAGTTAAGTACCAAAATAACCCAAGTAATTGGCCTTGATGGTACTCTCAAGTTATGGAACACCTTTTCTTGTTGAAAACTTTGCAAAATATGCCTAAACCTAAAGGTTTTGACCATTCACAATAGTTAACAGTGAGGGGCCAAGTTAGCAAAAATACCGTATTATTTTCTGTAGTACACTTTTGTAACTAACATATTTTGACCTCATGTTATTTTTTGACCAAAACCAAAAAACCCTCTTCATTCTCAGATTAAGCATTTTCTCTATTTTAACCCCTCCTGTTATAGCAAAATGAAAATAGTGAACCAGCACCTGCTCCCTCCAGGTCTCCTTTCATCTGTCACTTTCTTTTTCAACTTCAGTAGAAATGTTGAATAAAAGCAGGCCTTGGAGCATCAGCACCCTGGGAGTGCAGAGCGTGAGTGCCACAGTGGAGGATGAAGACATTCCAGGAGGGAACGGAAGGGCCAAGGCCACAGAGCACAGAGAACCCACCAGGAGCGGCTTTGACTGGCAGTACCTGCAAATGGCCCATGGTGTAGTTTTGAAGTGTTTTTCATTCTTACATGATACATGGAGCAATTTGTATTACACGTAACGAAGGAAATGACGATGGCTAAAAATAGGCAACACAGTCCACACACACATAAAAAAAATAATAACTACTGCGATTTGCCTCTCTTCAGAAAACCATTCAAAAAAGAATTAAAGGAAAGCCAAATCTGGTTTTGGCACCCACCAAAGGACCCCATTTCCACTCCTGAGGCAGATCTTCTACACCTTTAGTTACAGAAATATATTAAAGTGCAGTATAAAAATACAAAAGGTCAGTTTCTGAACAGATCAACTGCTAATTTTCTTTAAAAAGTTGACTTAGTGGAGTAAAAATAGTTTATTGACTTTCATTGTGTTGATAAGAATCTTAGTTGCAATATGAAAACTGGAGCTCATGGATACTCTGACTTTTTCCATAGCCGAGTATAACCAGTATTAGTGGAAAACACTATAAAAAGTGGCTGTAACAAGTTCTCCCTGCCCAGTGGTTTAAAAAATGACCTAGTATAAGAATGTAGAAATTTCTAAAATTTACCCCTAAAAGCCTGTTTTTAAAAGAAAGCTACTTAAGTATAAGCATATATCTCATTACATAATTATTTTTCATTTGGTAAACAGATGAATGTGCAGATGAATTAACGGTATTGTATTGTAGCAGCAAAACTGGTCTTGGGTATTGTGATCAAACAGAAAGGAAGGCAGGGAAGAATCTCCACATGGTGCTCCAGGTAAGTAAATGGCCGGGTACCTTCTATGTCATTAGATTAGAAAGGAAGGCAGGGAAGAATCTCCACAAGGTGCTCCGGGTAAGTAAATGGCCAGGTACCTTCTATGTCATTAGATGCATATCTCTACCACTCAGAATATTTGGGGTAAATAACTAATCAAGAGTGCTCCTCCATGACTAGTTGGTTAGGCCAGTCAAATCATTTTAACATACATGCCGACTGATCCCTGGAAATGAAATCTAACATTAGTGGTTAGTTAAGGTGAAAGAAAATGAAAATGCAAAGTTCACTCACAAAATATAAAGTCTACCCTCTAGTAATGAATATAAATGTTAAAAGTACTTCATACAAAAGAACACATCAACAATTTTTTAAAAAATTAAATTCTTGGGCCACAGGCACTGTAAAGTGTGAATGCTCACTTCTCCAACAATTTCTTGAAAACACAGAGCTGTATTTCTCATTTGGAATACTTTCTTTATCTTGCAAAACGTTTTCTGAAAAAAGAAAACAACATGTTTAAATGGGAGGGATGCAATGCCTGCTGGTTTGACCATTAATAGCATGCTTTTTCTGTTATCGACAGAGTTAGCAAAATCAAAATATAACTTATGAGGCTCCAGGAAATTAGGAGGACTGCAAAACTGAAAAGTATACAAAAATATAAATCCATTTTATGTACCTAAAGTAGAATTTCCCTAATTCCATAATTAAAGTTTTAAAAAGAGCAGCAGTAAGGTCAGAGGAACCCAGCAAACATTTATTGCCCCCTCCCACCTTAATAGAGCCTCCAGAGTCCTTGCTTCTTTCCACTTTACCCTCACGTAGCCAGTGGGTGCTAACTTGCACATGCAGAATCAGCCTCTGACGTCACTAGTTATATGACTGCAGGCAAATAATCTTAAATGCTCGCAGAGCAGCAATGTCCTTATTGGCAAAGTGTGAACTCAGCATATACCCTGGGACTGTGCTAAGGTTTCAACCAACTCTGACCCAGGTGGAGTTACATGGTCGGTCTCAGGACAGTAACTACTTATATAGGACAACTGTACTTGTGTTTATTGGTGAATCTATTTCATAACTAAAACCTTTCCCAATAAAACACACGAGGGCAGGAGCTTTGTTTGGTGACCAATGCCTCTGGTTATGCTCTAGGTTCTTCCTTTATCACCAGTCTGTCTGTCATGGAGGACTCCTTGCCTTTTATCTCATCAATTATGCCATGTGTCAGCTAAGCCCAAGACATTCCTGTCATTATACCCTGAGGGGGTTTTCATCAACACCCTCATGCTTCTACAGTGAGGTCCCTAATGTGCAGTGCAGATGCTGTCCTTGCCATCCAGGTTCTCCTCAGACCTGAGCCAGCTCACACTCTGTCCAGCGTCGGTCATCTTTCTTCTGAGGACAGGAATTGCCTCTACCTAACTCCATGTGACTGCTTCCTTCTTTCTCTTGAGGTGATGCAACAGCCACTAAACAGCTCTGAATGCCCACCTATCTAGAGCACACAGGTCTGGGTCCCCAGTCTGTGGAGTCCCTTCAAGCAGGGAGGCCAGACACCTACTGAATCACTATTACCATGGGTTGGAGCAGAGCTGTGGTGAGGAAGAGGGAGGTCAGCAATCTCTATCAGGGTAACCCTGCCCACCAGGAATAATTCACCTGTTTTACCAGCTTTGTTTTTGGTCTACATAAGCTATTTAACACTTAAAATTCTCTTTGAAGAGATATTTCCAGCTTTAATTAACTACTAACCCTAACTAATAAAAGTTACTTTAATATAGTTTTTCTTGTATTGTTAATCATATTTATAAGCTTGGAAAATATGAAAAATCTTTCCTAGACATGAGTGAAAGAGAAGCTTCCTTTTTTAGGAGCAACCCTCTCCCTTTAAATACAGAGCTTCCGAATGTCAACTGTTAGTAAAACCTGAGGAGGCAGCGGCACCTGCCCTTATGTTCGGGCTGAGTCAGTAACAAAGCTGCTCCTGGGCTCACTACCTCACACGTGGTGCCCGTGAACTGCGCCGTCACCGTCTCCGCCCTGCATCTGCAGCTGCATCTGTGCCTGCATCCTGGCGATCATCTCCTGCATGCGGCGGAGCTGTGGGCACAAGACAGGGACACATCACTGTGTGCAGGGTCTGCTAGCCCTTATTCTTTATGGGTGTCCTGGGAGGCCTAATATTAACTTCTACGCTTACCCAACACAAGACAAAGAATTAACAAAGAACTTTTACAAACCAGTAGAATGAGCAACAACTCAATAGAGAACTGAGCAAATGGTAAGAACATGCAATTCAAGTATAAAAAAGAAATGAGTAAACAAAATAAAGACAATGAGAGATTTTTAAAACCTAAAAGGTGGGAAAGAGACTGGGGCTACCCAGTGGAGAATGTGAGCCCAGGCCATGGGACAGCCCTGTCACTCCCCTGGAGAATGTGCATCCTCCACTATCCCTATCCATTCTACCAGTGTGGTTTCTACATGTTTAAAAGACCTCAAGGTTTACAAGGATTATAAATTATTTACCTAAGTTTTCTTCAGGTAACTTTTTAGTTATGTTATTTAAAAAATATTTTAATTGATTTTTTAGAGAGGAAAGAAGAGGGAGAGAAAGAAACATTAATGTGAGAGTGAAACATCGATTGGCTGCCTCATGCACACCTCATGCTCACTGGGGAATGGAGCCACAACTTGGGCATGTGCCCTGATGGAGAATTGAACAGGCAACCTTCCCATGAGTAGGATGCCACCCAACAAATTGAGCCACACCGGCCAGGGCTTGGTTATGTTTTTAACATTTAAATATTTGCTCTATATTGAATTTATCTGGCCAAAGAAGTGAGTCTTATTTTTGTTTCCAAAAGGCTGCCCTGTTCTGGGATTACTTACTGAGTATGTCTGGATCCCACAATTCAACAAACCTCAAAGCCAGCTTTGTCAGAGCACATTTCCATCCTTCTGACCTAGTTCCTGACATGTACTGAATCAACCTCCCACACCTGGACCAACTTCTCAGGGTGACCACTGTTCTCTGACTTCTCTGTAACCACCAAAGCCAACCTCTTCTCATTAGTCTATTTCCTACAGCGTCCTGTGTTTCCCCTGCTTAGTCTTCAAAAGAAACATTACAATTATGTTATCAACCTCTTCCCTCAAAGTAAAACCTTGATAAGCACACACAAGTCTGCTGGGATTGCATTAAATTTAGAGAAAACTGTGATCTTTGTATTAAGCATCCTAAAAAGTTGTGTCTCTATTAAAATATTGAAAATTGTCAGTAGTTTTCTAGTTTCTTTCCCCATGTAAGTCCTATATATTTCTCCGTAAATTTGTTAATGATTGTAAATAGCAGTTTCTCATTATATTTTCTAATCGGTTATTACCTATGTATAGGAAAGCTGATTTATGAACATATTACAAAATCAGTCATGTTGCTAAATTCTCATTGGTTCCAAGTTTTTTCCCTAAATTGTGATCGGAAATTAAATGAGATAATACATGTAAAACAATAGGCATATTATTATATATAGATGGGTATATGAAGTACATTAGCTACATGAAATATATTCCTTCTTAAAAATAAGGGAAGCTATAATAAGCTAATTATAAATAGTATTCTTGATATAAACTAAACAGCTTTAGATTTAAAAGTAATACTTTTCTACTTACCTCAGCTTCCTTTTCCAGCAAGATCTGATCTTTATTCATGTCCTCATTTTCCACCTTTCTAAGAGTTGAAAAAAATTACAATTATAATACGGCAACAAATAGAAGTTGGTTATTTCTGATGACAGATAACCAAAGTAACATTTCACTTTACATTCCTCAGACATGTATCTACTTAAAATTACATATATTTATCATTTTTCTAATTAATGACATGAATGAATGAGGATGAAAAAAGAACAACATGAAATGGAAAATACAAGAGATACTCTAAGCTGGGATGATGACACTTCCATCGTTATCTACTAAAAATACAGCAGCTACTTCCTGAAGAATACTTTTTTGAGTTATTCTTTATAAACACAGACTATGTCCATCACACTGAAAATAAGGAACAGGCTCTGGGGTCTAAGCAGAGGGGGCCAGTACAGAGGCCCCAGCTCATGAAGACACAGCTTCTAATATGCTGAGGCTGGCCTACCTGTGGTCGGCAAACTGCGGCTTGCGAGCCACATGCGGCTCTTTGGCCCCTTGAGTGTGGCTCTTCCTAAGCCTTAGGAGTACCCTAATTAAGTTAATAACAATGTACCTACCAATATAGTTTAAGTTTAAAAAATTTGGCTCTCAAAAGAAATTTCAATCGTTGTACTGTTGATATTTGGCTCTGTTGACTAATGAGTTTGCCGACCACTGGCCTAGTCCATTGCCTGGTTGTCTATTCCTCAATGGGACCTCCTTGTTGCTTCTACCTTTCTTAATGTCTAGACCCCACATTAATAAAACAATAAAGTAGACTTTAATGTACACTTCATATATATGCACATATCTATCAAATTTTAAAAATGTGAATATTTTAGTGAACTACAATACAGAAAATTATTTTACTGAATGCTGTACATTACTTATTTATTAAGCTCTATGCATAGATGTGATTTCATCAGACATGAATCAGGTCTCAATTAAAAACCCTTGAGGATAGTAAACAGCTGAGTGAGGGTGGCCATGTGCGCTGAGGAGTAGACCTGCTGCTCCCACCTTAACCCTTGGGGTACTGTACTTTCTTAATGTGAGTCTGTCCTCATTTATAGACAGACTGACACTTTTGAGAAAGTACCCACCACATGTATATGGCCTTTCCATTTAAAGCTGTTCTGTCCGTGCAGATGATTGAAGCTGCCTTTAACAGGCAAAAAGGGGCACAATTTGATTAAATTAGCAACAAGTAGCTTATAATAGCTCAAGTAGAAAATCAAATCATATTGCTCTGAGGTCAAGGAAGAAGAGCTGGACACATACAGGACAGTGTGACTTGGGGTGACAAATATGGACAGAGAGGGATAGTCTCACCTGCCGCCCCTTTTGAGCCTCTCAGAACGGAAGTTCTCATAGTGAAGGTCCTGGGTCACCTCCTGGAGGTCCTGCATGTGAGTGCTGAAAGAGGTAAGAATGCACCAAGCTGGGCTCCATGCATGTGCCATTTGCATGAAGAAAACAACCAATCATGGACACAAAAGAACCCCTGGAACTAAAACTCCACTTATGACCTGGCAAATTGTACACAAAGTTGATGGAATTTGGGGATAAGGCTGTGGAAACATCTACAGAGGTGTATCCTTCCTTGCTACCACAGTAAATGAACAACACACCCACCCCACAGGGCCAGGTTAAGAGTCCCTCCATGGGGCGTCTACCACAGGTACTGCCAAATTCTGCACGAGACTATCATCCCTGGACAGGGCCAGATGCATAGACATTAGGAGATCTTTTTAGGTAAACAGTGTCTGAAACAGAACACACTTTCTGAACGTACTTATAGAAAACATGCAATTCAAATATTCATGACTTCTTACGCTTACAATGTATATCAGAGAGAGTTAACTAGCTTAAGCTATGGGGAAGAACACAAAATGAAGTATTAACATTCTGGATAAAATAGAAACAGCACTTCAAATCTTCTAATCACTGTATAGAACATTCCTGGGTTTCTGGCTGAGTTTTTTCCAATATGTAAGAACTCAAAGAGTAGAGAGATTATATTCCTGTTACTCAGGATCCAGGGAATGGACTGAGTAATGGCAAAGGGGTGGCCCATTTCCCCTCTTTCTGAGAAACACATAACTGACACCAAAGTTCCCTCTTCAGCCCTCCACACCCTCCACCTCTGACAGGATCACGACAGCTGAAAACCCAACCCTGAAGGGGCCGGGTGCACTTTAAATGACTGAAGTACGTTTAATAGAGCTTGAATAGTAAATTTAATGGTATTTTTTTTAGTAATTTTAATTCACTAAAACTGCTAACCCAAGTGAGACATATGTGGCATGTAGAGCAGTTTTCAGTTATTTAAAGTTTATCTAGATTAGCCATTGTTTGAACTCTTCTGATTAAAGAGGTTTGGCAATACTTTTTCTTTCAACCTCTTCATTCAAGAGCAAAAGCATTACATGTATGTTGCTAAATGTGGAATCTATTTTTAGAGGAAACAGACTGTTTTTGTAGTCAGGGCTGTCCTAGTTGCTAGGACTCAATAGAGCAGTGGTTCTCAACCTTGGCTGCATATTAGAATCACCTGGGAATCTTTTTAAAATCCTGATTTCTGAGCCTCATCCTCCAGAAATTCTGTTTCGTTGTTACTAATGTTGTGGCCTCACCCCCTAACAAAATTTCCGGAGGATGAGGCCTAGAAATCAGGATTTTAAAAAGATTCCCAGGTGATTCTAATGTGCAGCCAAGGTTGAGAACCACTGCAATAAGAGGAATAGAACGGGGGCGACCCTGAGAGAGCCTGAGGCTGACCAGCTGTGGCAGCATACCCCAGCTGGCCCCTAAGGCAGATCCAAACACATCCTCCCTGGAGCAGGAGGTGACTCTTGCTGGGACTGGCCACCCCACACATTAAGTCTAGTCTACTTTTAGCCTCAAAAGAGACCCTGGCATTCAATGAGAAAGGAGTACTGAGCTAAAGGTCACAGGTGGAAGGGCTAGTTCAGATCATTCCAGAGAGCCTGCAGGTGCAGGCCTTCTGTACCATGCTGCGGCAGGCCCACTGCAGGCACAATGGAAGTCGCATGCACATCCCACACTCTCTGTGCTGGGCTCTGCCAACTGTAGTGCATGACTGTCTTACATGAGCATTGTCCTCAGCTTCAGAAAGTCGTTGTGTTCTGGGTTCTCCACTTCCACGACACCCCACGGATAGAGGCGGCCTCGGACCTTCTTGCCTTTGGCTTCTATCAGCTGATTGGATCCAACCACAGAGAACGGGATACTGGCCTAGAAAGAGACACAGAGGGTTGGCAGGCTCCACAGAGGGACCGCCACATTCACCGCAAACACAGGAGCATCAACACAGAGGGGACACTTGGCTGCTACCACAGGATTACTTGGAAAGCTTATGGTGCACACTTTACTTGGACGTGGCAGGCATCTTCCACACAGGACAAACTGCACGAACAAATGAAAGCTGCAATTAAGATTTCTAAGCCTTACAGTGACAGGTCACAATTCCCAGACAACTTCTCTAAGTCAAGGCTCCAGGATCTGGTTCTTCACCAACTCCTCCCATTTTGAATGCGGACAGCAGGAAACAGGAGTTAGTCACTCTGTGCACCTGGAATTCTTACCTTGAGAAGTCTGGTCTGCTCTTTAAAATCTTCATCTTCATCTGATTCTGCATCAGGTAAGTGATAGATTTTGATGTTATGTTCTTCAATTTCATCCAGAATCTGAAAGAATGACAAAATCAGAAGCAATTTTAACAAACCGCACAAATTTTAGTCAAACCTAACTCATCGTATTGGGAAATACATCAGAATTACCCAAACTTCAATAAAAAATAAAATGGATTATGACAATTATTTTCAAAGCTTTCATGAACTGCTAAAATGGTATTTAAGTATTTGGAGGGACCTCTGTCCATAGTAACACAATATACCACCAATGTCCATGTACACCCTCCCCCCAACCCCCAACGTGGCCAGAACGACAAGTGCCTGAGGAGAGGCACAGACAGATGCTGCCAGTAGAGAATAGCCACAGGTGTTGCCTAAAGGGTTCCTGAAGAACACAAAGGAGTCTCATGAGGAGGGGGAGAGGCACCTGGGGAAAATCTGTCAAAACCACGAGGGAAGAACACAGGAAGTCCGTTTTGGTAATTACAAGAAATCTAGGATGGCGGAACACAGGACAATGAGTTGGGTAAGTCAGAAGAACCCCCGGGGTTACCAAGGGGCGAATCCCCAGAATGCCAGGCCAGGGTCTGAGATCTGGGATCCAGACTTTTACTCAATAGGCAAAAAGTGGCCTCCAGGGAAACCTCACACTCTACACTGTCAACCAGGGAGCAGACCACTAAGAGGGAAGGGAAAACAAGGCTGGAGTTGGGGTAAGCAGTCATTCATCTGTCTATATGCTGGGCACTCCATAAGGTATGAGGAAGGCTGGAGCTCTGCTTATTCTCACACCAAGACTTGGGCATTGTGGATGGAAAAAGGGGTTCTATGGAAAGTAAGCTCACAGGGTGACCTAGTCATAAATTCCTGTGCTGGGCTGCATATCTGGCGCTTTGGCCAGATGGGTCATGCTGTGCTGTCTGTTCCTAAAACACACAGATAGGAAGGTACTGACATCAGGCCAGGCCTTGAGATATGGTCTCATGGCCCCTTCCCAGCATGCAGGCCTTCTTTCTCAGAGGGCCCGGAAGTCTCATTCAAATTTGGGAGACAAAAGACTGGAAAAAGTATAAATAAAGAGAGTTTCCTCCATATTGGGGGCCCAGAATTTGAAAGACACATTTGTCTCTGGGCCTCCACAAAAGTTAATAATAAAATGTAACTCCTGTAGTAGTCTGGGCTGCAGTTTAGCCCTCTGCTTCGGCAGGGTGCTGTAACTGTAGTCAGCTGGCCAGCTTAATAAAGGCTCTTAAATTTGAATTCTGTGTCGGTGGTCTATCTCGCTGAGTCAACCCATAACATTCCTAACTGGGCAAGTCATGGTGGATAGTCACAACCCAGGCATACAACTTAACTTAGTGAAAGGTTTATCTTCAGTTTAAGCTAGCTCTGTCCATTGTTCCTAGGTGAACACACCTTTGAAATGCCCCCCTGCAGACCCGTATGTCTAAAGTATATCCTGTAATCTGATCACTGCCTTGCTCTTGCCCACCCTCATGTAATCTTGTGTTCCCTCCTTAATTCCAAATACATAAGAGAAGCTGCAAAAATAAACTCATAAAAATTCTCTACAGTTTGGATGTTTCTTATGCCCGACAGCCCAAGGGAAGAGAGAACATAATCCAAGCCAGCAGGGAACACCCACCTCAAACCCTGCTCCCAGATTTGTTCTTCCTTTTTTTTTTTGGTTAATCCTCACCCGAGGATATTTTTTCCATTGATTTATAGAGAGAGTGGGAGGGAGGGAGGGGGAGAGAGAGAAAAACATCGATGTGAGAGACAAATCTATTGGTTGCCTACCATAGGAACCCAGACAGGTGGGATTTGTTCTTAATGTAGACCTTCCATTGAACACATTGTTTGCAGCTGGACAGGTGAGCCCCAAGTTAAAGGGATTAGGAGAGGGTAGATGGACACCAACGCATAAAACAAAGGAGGGTGGGAGAGGTTTGAGAGGTTCCTTTAGATCAGGGAGGAGTAAAGTGAAGGGGTTAAAAAGGCCCAAGATAAAAGAGATCAGTGCACCAAGTATTTCAATTCATTTCAGAGTTTGAGATCAAGCACTAAGTGTTTTGAGTATAAGATGAGATGGGTATAAAGCATGCTACCCTGGGTACCTCTTTCCCCTACCTCTCTGAAATGGAATGTAACACCCTACAGAAGGTGAAGTTTCCTTAAGTGGAAGTGCTAAAATACTGACTATAACATATAAAAATGCCTAAGCTTTCAGGGGTTCCTTCAAGGGCCTGAATATTTCCTAAAATATTGGCAGCCTCCTGAGACAGTAAAGGGTACAGTTGAGAAATATGAGTATATACAATTTAGAAACTCTGCTATGGAAAAGACAGCCAGAAAAATGTGAACACACAAAACTCAGACTCCGACATAATAGTCTAAAAACAAGAATATCTGTAACTCAATGAAAAGAGAGGCAAGTCTCTAAAACCTAAGAGAATGCCAAGGGCATTGAGCAGGAGGAAACACATGACAAAAACTGGTGATACATCAGGAATGTCGGGGAGAGAAGAGCGTGCTTGAATGCTGCTTTGAGAACAAGCTTATTTTGAGGAAAATTTAGCCATCTTTCAAGTACTTAAACATGCATTAATTTCCTTTTCAAGAATCTGTCTGACTTTACAACTGTGAGATGACAGATGTGGACAACTGTTCAACACATAAACATTTCTGAGTGTCTAACACGTGCCAGGTCCTGTTCCAAACTTTTGGAATACACAAGCAAGCAAAGATCCCAATGTCAGGGACTGGGGAGTGGATGGGAAGACCCAGAAACACACTGAAGAACACTATGCATGCCATAGATAAGGGTGAGAGGCGTGCTTTCTGCATAAGACTTAGAAAGTCAAGTGGCAGAATCATAGGTATGACATAATCCTATTCTGTAAAAACAAAAACATAAAGAGACCATGTTCTAGAACAGTGGTTCTCAACCTTCTGGCCCTTTAAATACAGTTCCTCATGTTGTGACCCAACCATAAAATTATTTTCGTTGCTACTTCATAACTGTAATGTTGCTAATGTTATGAATCGTAATGTAAATATCTGATATGCAGGATGGTCTTAGGCGACCCCTGTGAAAGGGTCGTTCGACCGCCAAAGGGGTCGCGACTCACAGGTTGAGAACCGCTGTTCTAGAAGGACAGATACCTGTTAATAGTGGTTATTTTTGAGGATAATTAAAGGAATTCTTATTTGTAGAATATAGCATACGAGCTTGGAATTCTCAATAAGCATACAAACAGGTATGTAATTTAAACAGGTAACTGAAGCTCTATGGGAGAACAGAGACCACAGCCAGCTCAGGAGCTGGAGGACCGCTGTGCAACCTCCACAGCTAAATGCAGGCCTCTCAGCCTTCTGACACCAGACTATCATCATTAGTACACGTTCCCAGAAAAATGTGGGGGTTACAGTGTTTAGATGGAACAGAGAACCTCAGGGAGATCCTCCCACCCAAAGCACATTGTTACCGACCATGAAACGTGACTGCACATTAGCCATCTTCTAGGCACTGAGGGGAAGTTCACCTAAGGTGAGTTATAAGAAACAGTAGTAATTCGATACCTTTGTGAAGGAAAAATACTAAAAAATTAGAAGTATTGGGTGCTGGTTAAAACTGCCCCACACCTCCATCGCACTTTGCTGCCTGCCCCACAGTCACTCACCCTTTTCTTCAAACGTTCCCGTTCCTTCAGAGTGAGGGTATCAGCTTTCGCAATGACAGGCACAATATTGACCTTGTTGTGTATCGCCTTCATAAACGCGACATCTAAGGGCTTAAGTCCATGTCCAAAGGGCGAGATGAAATAGAAGCAGCAGTGTACCCTGTTGTCCACGATGTGCCGTCGGTTGAGGCCGCTCTCATCATGTAGGTACCGCTCGAACTGCTCGTCAATGTAGGAGATGATGGTCTTGAAGCTGAGACACACACACATTGAGGATCAAGGGTATAAAAGGCAGGCAGGCAGACCCTAACTTCAGAAACAAAGCAAGTTTTCTTGTCCCCTGTGCCCCACCTCCCAAATATAATTTTTTTAAAAAAATATATTTTATTGATTTTTTACAGAGAGGAAGGGAGAGAGATAGAGAGTTAGAAACATCGATCAGCTGCCTCCTGCACATCCCCCACTGGGGATGTGCCCGCAACCCAGGTACATGCCCTTGACCGGAATCGAACCCAGGACCTTTCAGTCCGCAGTCCGACGCTCTATCCACTGAGCCAAACCGGTTTCGGCCTCCCAAATATAATTTTGTAACTCATCTGTAAGATGGAAATGGAAACTGACTCCTCCATTTGGCAAGATGGATATATCTGGAAACTGTGCCAAGAGCTAAGGGCCGGGGGTCAAAAGTCAGAATGGAAGAGGTTATAAGAGCCTGGGCTGCCAATGCTTTTAAGGGGCGTGGTAGCAGCAGCAGAACACGGCAGGAGCAGGCAGTGGAGATGTGGGGATGGTAAGCAGCGCAGCCACAATGCCAAGGCCGACCTGCAGGAGGGGCTGTTCCCAATGAAGGGGAGAGGCCTCCCTGTCCTCCCTTTTCTACCTAGTGTTGGGCATTGATGCTTTATGCTCCTGGGAAGGACCAGGGGCCTCCGTACATGAAAAGGGATCCTCAGCAGGATCCTGGCAAGACTGCTCTCATTTTCTACTTGTGCATTTCCCAATTGGTGCAAATGCCAGTGAGCAGCCATTTTCAGGCACTGGGTCTTGAGTGACTGAGAGAGTTCCAGAGGAACACTGGACCCCAATATCGTGTCCACTGGTTACAGCTCCAATCAGGATAGAGGGTTGACTCTACAATCTCAGATCTCACTAGAATGTTCTTAAGAGGGAAAAAACCCTCATTCTCTGTGAAATTTCTAATTTAAAATATCCTAATTAATGTGCCTTAAATTGTCCTATTAATTCCCTGGTCAGTGTTCTCTGTGGTTAGAGTGTCAGGCACGCATCAAAGCGTCAAGGGTTCGATTCCCAGTCAAGGGCATGTACCTGGGTTGCAGCTTTGATGGAGGCCCAGTGAATATGTCTCTTTCACACACTGATTTCCCTCCCATCCTCCCTCCCTAAAATTCAATGGAAAAAATATCCTCAGGTGAGGATTAACCAAAAAATAAAAATAAAAATTGTCCCATTATTTTACTATATCCAGTTACTCCATATCCAATAATTACTCAGCACTATACATTTAAATATAGCAAAACAAACGAAAGTGGAGAAGTAACCACTGACACCACAGAAATACAAAGGATTATAAGAAAATACTATGAATAAGCTGGACAAAGTGGATGAAATGGACAAATTCCTAGAAAAATACAATCTCCTAAAACTGAATCAGGAGGAATCAGAAAGCCTGTATAGGCCAATAACAACAAAAAACTCCCAGCAAACAAAAGCCCAGGTCCCGATGGCTTCACAGGGGAGTTTACCAAACATTCAAAGAACTAACACCTATACTCCTCAAACTATTTCAGAAAATCCAAGAGGAAGGAACACTTCCAAATTCTTTTTATGAGTCCAGCATTATCCTAATTCTAAAACCAGATAAAGATACTATAAAGAAAGAGAATTACAGGCCAATATGCCTGGTGAACATAGATGCTAAAATCCTCAACAAAATATTAGCAAATCGCATCCAGCAATATATTAAAAAGATCATACACCACGACCTAGTGGGATTTATTCCAGGGATGCAAGGCTGGTACAATATTTGCAAATTAATAAACGAGATACATCACATAAACAAATTGAAAGACAAAAATCACATGATCATATCAATAGGTGCAGAAAAAGCATTTGAAAAAATCCAACACCCATTTTTGATAAAAACTCTCAGCAAAGTGGGAATAGAGGGAGCATATTTCAATATGATAAAGGCCATATATGACAAACCTACAGCCAACATTATACTCAATGGACAAAAACTAAAAGCATTTCCCCTAAGAACAGGAACAAGACAGGGATGTCCACTTTCACCACTCTTATTCAACATAGTACTGGAAGTCCTAGCCACAGTGATCAGACAAGAAGAAATAAAAGGCATCCAAATTGGAAAAAAGGAAGTAAAACTCTAATTATTCACAGATGGCATGATATTAGTCATAGAAAACCCTAAATACTCCACCGAAAAACTACTAGATTTAATAAATGAATTTGGCAATGTAGCAGGATACAAAATCAACACCCAAAAATTGATGGGTTTTTTTTATACACCAATAATGAATTCTCAGAAAGAGAAACTAAACAAACAATCCCATTTACCATTGCAACAAAAAAATTAAAATACTTAGGAATAAACTTAACCAAGGAGACAAAGGACCTATACTCAGAAAACTTCAGGACAATGGAAGAGATAGAAGAAGATATAAACAAGTGGAAGAATACACCATGTTAATGGATTGGTAGAATCAACATCATTAAAATGGCAATACTACACAAAGTAATCTATAGATTCAATGCAATCCCTATTAAAATACCAATGGAATATTTCACAGAGCAAGAATAAATATTCCAAAAATTTATATGGAATCAAAAAGACCCTGCATAGCTGCAGCAATTTTGAGAAAGAAAAACAAAGTTGGAAAAATCACAATACCAGTTTTCAAGTTTATACTACAAAGCCACGGTAATCAAAACAGCCTGGTACTGGTACACGAACAGGCATATAGATCAATGGAACAGAACAGAGAACCCAGTAATCGACCCAAACCATTACACTCAATTAATATTTGACAAAGGAGGCAAGAGCATACAATGGAGTCAAGAGAGTCTCTTCAATAAATGTTGTTGGGAAAATTGGACAGATACATGCAAAAAAAATGAAACTAGACCATCAACTTAACAACATACACAAAAATAAACTTAAAAGGGATAAAAGAGTTAAATGTAAGTCGTGAAGCCATAAAAATCCTAGAAGATACCATAGGCAGCAAAATCTCAAGACATCTCTCATAGCAAGATGTTTACAGATACATCTCCTTAAGGCAAAGGAAACTAAGAGAAAATATACAAAAGGGGCTACATCAACATAAAAAGCTTCTGCACAGCAAAAGAAACCATCACCAAATGAAAAGAGAACCCACTGCATGGGAGAACATATTTGGCAATGATACATCTGATAAAGGGTTAATATCCAAAATATATAAGGAACTCACACAAATTAAAAAAAGGAAGAGAAACGATCACATTAAAAAATGGGCAAAGGACCTAAATAGACACTTCTCCAAAGAGGACATACAGATGGCCAAGAGACATATGAAAAAAATGCTCAAAATCGCTATCATCTGAGAGATGCAAATCAAAATGACAGTGAGGTACTGTCTCACACCTGTCGGAATGGCTACCATCAAGAAATCAACAAATGACAAGGGCTGGCAAGGATGTGAAGAAAAGGGAACCCTAGTACAGAGCAGGTGGGAATGCCGACTGGTGCAACCATTATGGAAAACAGTATGGAGTTTCCTCAAAAAATTAAATATGGATCTGCCATTTGACCCAGTGATCCCACTTCTAGGAGTATATCCTAAGAAACCCGAAACACCAATCAGAAAGAATGTATGCACCCCTATGTTCATAGTAGCACAATTTACAATAAGTAGATGAGTGGATAAAAAAGCTGTGGTACATTTATACCATGGAATACTATGCAGCAGTAAAAACGAAGAATCTCTTATCCTTTGAGAAAGCATGGAGGGACCTGGAGAACATCATGCTAAGTGAAATAAGTCAGTCAGAGAAAGACAAGTATCACATGATCGCACTCATATGTGGAATCTAACAAAATAAACTGATGAACGGAGTGGATCCAGAGACATGGAAGCATAGAACAGTGTGTGGAATCTCAGAGGAAGGTGGGTGGGTGGGAGGTAATCAACCAAAGACCTTGTATGCATATATGCATAACCCATGAACACAGACAATAGAGTCCTGAAGGCTTGAGGTGAGGTGAGGGTTGGGGAGGGGTGGGGAGCCAGTCCCCTCCCTGCTTCCTGTTTTAGAGGGGGTCAACGGAGGAAAAAAGGGACACATGTAATACTTTCAACAGTAAAGAATTATTAAAAAAAATATATACATCCTTAGATACTTGCTACATATAACCACACCCTAAGCAATAAAGCTGTGCAATCATGAAAAAATAAAATAAAATAAAATATAGCAAAACAGGTGTTAATACATGCACAGCCCTCAACACTTCTGGGTGCCCATCCCTGTGGGATGCGTACCAATCCCTGCAGTTGATGGCATCACCATAGCCGGGTGTGTCCACCACCGTCAGGCGCAGCTTGACCCCTCGCTCTTCAATCTCAACAGTAGAAGCCTCAATTTGGACTGTTCTTTCAATTTTCTCTAGAAAAGAAACAAACTTAGTAAGAGAATGTGCCTTAACATTGAGCCTGTTTGCAAAGAGATGAAATTATCTATTAGTTACTTATTATCAAATGACCTGAAAGCCACAACCTCTCTGAGGAAGGTTTCCAAAAGGTAATATGAGGATTGTGTAAAAATGATTCCAGTGTAAGCAAGGGAAGTGTTGAAGCTAAGATTAAAGGGCTGCCCAGGAAGGTAAAAATGCCAATATTGAAAATTTTAATTTCTTTTCCTGGGACAAAGAAAACAATTTATGAATTCCTTTAAAATTGAATTCAATGACAGGGCTATATGTCTCCATTGTGGTAGCTCAGGTCCTAGGATCTATCTGTGCTTAATCCATTCACTTAATCAGCATTCACAGACACGTGTCCTGCATTGGGAACACTCAGAACCCCTGACCCCACAGTAGCCTACTAGCTACACAGCTTTTTTTCACGAGAGATAACACTGTCACTTGATCCTCCCATCACACAGAGAACATAGGCAAGAACAATTTATGACACTGTATAGACTTTATAGACAACAAACTTGGAGAGGATGGATCCACGGATATGCTGTCAGTCTACAACCTGAATCCAAGGACCAATGTGCAGCACACTCTGCCTTACCTAAATGACATTTTCCTTGTGTTTACAGCCAAACAAAAGCAAAAACTCAAGGCCCAGGCATCAAATATTAATTATGCACTCTTACACAACTTCCATGGTAAATTACACTTAGGAGTGTATGAATTTTTGTACCTGCAGCTCCAGGTATGATTCTTTCTGGGTAAAGATCCGTCAAGAACAGGCTGTTTATAAGAGTCGATTTTCCTAGCCCCGATTCACCTTTAAACAAAAAGGAAGACATCATCATGATATTATCCGGATGACCATCTGCTGAGAGTTTATGCTAGGCCTGGCACTGGGCTAAATGCCCCACAAACATCATTTTCTGGACTCCGTACAACAACTATGAATTTGGTACAACTCTCCCAATTTACTGATGGGGAGATGGATGCTCACAGGTCAGACACCCACCCAGAGCAGGGCCTCAATTTGAATCCAGTGTGTGGGGCTCCAGAATTCATACACTGTGAGATCAGAAATGTGATCTCACCTCTTAACAAATGTGTGGAATGAACTCTGGAGGGGCTCTTTATATTTTAATAGAATGCAAAGTAGGTTTTCAATCATGAGTTTGCCAATCATTTAATGTGTCACATTTTCAGAAAACTGAACATATCTCCCCATCGATGTCAACAGCACTCACCTCCTAAGCTGTGGGAACGGGACAGAAACGGAGATCCTTATATACTTTGACTTGCTGCAATCCCTCCACGCACCCCCCCGCCCCGCCCCCCGCCAAGGAGGGAGCCAGTCCCCTCCCTGCTTCCTGTTTTAAACACCTCCATGTCCCAAACTGGCAATTGCCTATGTCAAGGTAACTTCCCCCCCACATTGTTGAGTGTAACATGACAAAGATGGGCGATATGTATTCATCCTAGCATTTAAGGAGTTAAGAATCCCTCTTCAACTACATATTCTGAATGTTTTAAATTTAACTTCAAATATTTGCAAAATACCGAACATTAAATCTTATATTTGAAGGAAGCATGAACAGATTCCATCACTTCATGGTTAGGTTATCAGCTACAGCTTAATTTGTACAGAGAAGTGCTTCTGAACTCGGTGCCTGACTGTCTCTCAGGCATCTGGGTTTGAACCTCCCCCTGCTAAGTCCCATAGGACATGTGGAAGGAGCACATGTTTTAAAAATCATTGTTGTTGACAAAATCAAGAACACAAGAGTGAATGTGAAATGTGCAAACATAGAAATTAGGACTGAACTTCAATTAGACTTTAATTTTCACAGATGAAAAGGAACATCAAAAGGACAAAACTAGAATTACATGTTGAACCTGTCCCAATATAGGAGCATAAAAAATGTGACTAAACGCATACTATCCCATCAAGTTATCCTTTTTCTTTTTTAAAAAATATATTTTATTGATTTTTCACACAGAGGAAGGGAGAGGGATAGAGAGTTAGAAATATCGATGAGAGAGAAGCATTGATCAGCTGCCTCCTGCACACCCCCTACTGGGGATGAGCCTGCAACCAAGGTACATGCCCTTGACCGGAATCGAACCTGGGACCCTTCAGTCTGCAGGCTGATGCTCTATCCACTGAGCCAAACCAGTTAGGGTTCAAGTTATCCTTTTAATAAACTTTCCAGCAATCCACTATATCTTTACCATGCTCTAAGGGGGCCTGATCAATATGTACTAAATCCTTTCTGAGTCCCTAGCAGAGGTGTGGGTGCTAGGACACAACAGAAAACAGGGCAGACAAGTCCCTGCTTCATGGAGCTTTGCAATCCAGTGGGGCAGATGACAAAGTTACTCTCTATCACCTGATGACTCATGGCAGCTGAAAGGGGCTATCATGCAGAAGACATCTGAGCACAAGTGTCGGAGTAGAAGCAGCCTCTTTTAAAAAGCAGTACTAAAATCCTGGTGGCTGCTTCTAAATCTTAATTTTAAGGGTATAAGTGATCATTTCACTAGGATAGCTTTAGGGTAACATCTACAAATAATCTGCTAACTCAGAACATGATGCTGTCCTTGAGCTAAATTCGGAGTGCCCAGATCTGCTCTGTTCCACTGCCACTGATCTCTTTCCTGTAGTGGGTAGTTTCTCCCTTTAAATGGGGGAAACACACACAAGAGATCTCCACCAGTGTAAAGGCATCACCGTCCAAAAATTTTACATGAAACATACTGGGTCCACAGTCTTAATTAAATTAACCTGTAAAAGTAGTGACAACAAAGACTGGTTGGGATGGTGGTATTCAGTTTACAAAATGGCTCGTTAGCACCTTTTAGAAGAAAATATGCAGCACCAGGCACAAGGTGGCGCCACAAGATGAGAGAAAAGTGGCACGTGCTTTTACAACTCCACTGAGATCCCATCAGGCAAATTGTCAGAAGCTTCAGATTTTAATCTGAGGTTGTTGTTTTAATCCTCACCCAAGGATGTTTTTATTAATTTTAGAGAGAGGAAGGGGGGGGGGGATAAAGAAACTGATCAGTTGTCTCCCGTACATGCCCTGACCAAGGATCGAACCTGCAACGCTCCAACCAACTGTGAGCCACCCTGCCAGGGCTGAGGTTTTATTTTTTAAACCCAGGCTAAAAAAAAAACAACAACACCCAAAAAACAAAAACTTAGGCCAAGCCAGAAATGGTAGGAAATAATATTCCTAACCTGGGGAAGTTTTTATTCACATTTACTTTTGATTTTAACCAACACAAGACACTACTTCCTCAGTATGTAACTAGGGCCTTTCCCAAAGGCCTCTGAAGGGCAGCATTCTAAGTGCCCTAAATGTTCAGTGATATCCCCTCTGCTTGGCTGAAATTCTAATGTCTCCCGACCCCATTTCAGCTTTCCAACTCCATGCGGTCTCCAGTTCAGCTCACTCCCTTTGTGGTTACATTTTGCCCAGCCTTGTGGAATTTCAGTGTCAGCCAGTGTCCAAGGGAACCCCATGAAGATTTCTGGAGGCCTGGCTGTCTTTGGAACTCTGCTATGCTAACTGAGGATCCAGGTACTCAGGTTCACTTAATGGTGATCAGTCCTTCAGCTCTGAGACTCTTGTGCTCTGACCAACTTAGCTCTCCCCAGGTACATGCCAGAAAGCTGGAATGACTTTACACTTTATGTAATTAGTTTTCCTTCTCTCAGAGACTGAAGTCCTACACTGCCTATTGCAGAATGTCTTAGAGAAGCTGTATTTTGACCAGCCTTTAGTTATTCATGCCCTGACTAGTCTGGTAGCAGTTATTTCAGGGAGCAGCAAACGATGAACCTCAGTGCAAATCTAGCCCGCTACTTGTAAGTGAAGATTCACTGGAACACAGCAGAATTGAATGGCTCCACCAAAAACTGTATGGTTCACAAAGCCTTAAATATTCACTATCTGGCCCTGTGAATTATTTTATCATGGCAAGAAACAAAAGTTGCTTTAAAATGTAGCAACTGCATGACAGATTACACCGAATCTCTCTTCGACCAGGCGCTTGAATCTGCATTATCTTTATCATGTAATTGTGATCCTAAAACATGTCATCATTCCCTTCTCTGGACCAAGGGTCCCACAATTTCTCTCATTTCATTTATGAACTATTCACCCGAAGAAACAACAATTTGTACTACTCATTATCAAACTACCTCCTCATTTTGGGAGAATTTTACAGTTATCAAGATTGAAATGTGATATGGTAAACAGAATTAACAGTTCATCAGTAAATAGTTAAGCTTGTAATGGTCATGCTGAAACATAATATATACCCATGAAAAAAATATATGTGATAACAGAAAATAATTCCAGTAACCATTCAATTTCAAAGGACTTTAATAACTTAAAAAATGTGTATAGGAAGAACTGTTACTTGTTTAAAATACATCCACCATAAAATACATCCACCACAAAAATGTAAGAAGCTGTCTTTTTGAGTATTAAAGAAACATACTTCTCATTAAATATGTGTGTTTGTTATCTATTAACATGTAAAACTCATAGGCCTAAACCAATAATTAACATTTATTATTATTTCATGGAGTTTTTGGTTAGGAATTCTATGGAGGGAGGCAGGGGGTGTCTCTCATGCAGTAACAGTGAATGTCAGCCAGGATGGCTGTAACCACAGGTTTAATTGGAGCTAGAGAATATTTCTAAGATAGGTCACTACATGGCTACTGGCAGGCCTCAGTTCCTTGCCTTGTGGGACTTCGCTACAAGGTTGCTCGAGTGTCTCCCCAACATGGTGGCTGGCTGCCCTCAGAGTGAGCCAAGAGAAGGTACAAGCACAATGTCTTTTGTGACCCAGGCTCGAAGTAACAGACTTACCTTTCTGCAATGCCCTACTGTCTACACAGGTAAGCCCTATTCAGTATGGGAAGGGACTAGAGAGCTGCATGAATACCAGGAGGCAAGGATCACTGGGCAACATTTTGGAGGATGGCTGCCACAATGAGTAAAAATTATCACTACATATAAAGAAATGGCAGGAAAGTTGTAATTTTACTATGAAGCAAAATTTTCTAAAAAATTCTTGCCCCTCCCTCCCCCTCTGCCAAATTCCCAAGTTATTTGATTCTGCCAACAAAGGAATTTTCCCTTTATAAGTCATGCTATTATTACACTCCACAGGTTGGGAAGGCAGATAGCCACATATTTAATAAGCTTGAAAATAAAAGCTAATTTCTTACCGACCACCATTAGTGTGAACTCAAAACCTTTTTTCACTGATTTTCGGTGAACTTGGTTAGGAAGATTTGCAAATCCAACATAGCCAGGTGTTTCTGGATTTATAAACTGAGTTGGTTGTTGCTAAAATAAAATTTTACAGAAAAAAGAAAAGGGAGAGAAAATATCAATTGCTTATAAGACATAATAAAACTGTGACAAACCTAAGTATCATTAGTTCTCATGAATTAAATATATACAGTACATAAATAACACTTCTAAAAAGTTACTTCTATCAGAAAATTAATGGTATTCACCTAAGAACATTTATTTAAAAGAAAAACCAATCCAGTATTATTCCGTACCTATATATTAACCTAAAATTACATTTCCGTTAAGCAATTAAGCAACACATAAAAGAAAAATGTATCAAGTGTGATGCATTTGTGAAAAGTATCCAGGCCCTAACCGGTTTGGCTCAGTGGATAGAGCGTCAGCCTGCGGACTCAAGGGTCCCAGGTTCGATTCCGGTCAAGGGCATGTACCTTGGTTGCGGGCACATCCCCAGTAGGGAGTGTGCAGGAGGCAGCTGATCGATGTTTCTCTCTCATCGATGTTTCTAACTCTCTATCCCTCTCCCTTCCTCTCTGTAAAAAATCAATAAAATATATAAAAAAAAAAAGAAAGAAAAGTATCCAGGAAAAAGTCTTCTCCCTTGCTCTATATTCCTAGCTCTTTGGAACAAGTCTCACCAAGGGTGAGGCAGGAAACTTGGGGGTAGGATTTTGAGTATCTACCTTCAAAGACCCAGACAGAGAAGACTGAGAATTAGAGACATAGCTGACAATGCTAAGTGTCAATATTCCCTGACTGATGGACACCTGATGAGAAATGACAGATGGACATGGGACAAAGTAAGTAAAGCTTTAGAACTGAGCAGTGGCACACTATAAATGGGAGGAGATCAAGATACATCAATTCGCCAAAACCGGTTTGGCTCAGTGGATAGAGCATCGGCCTGCGGACTGAAAGGTCCCAGGTTCGATTCCGGTCAAGGGCATGTATCTGGGTTGCGGGCACATCCCCAGTAGGAGATGTGCAGGAGGCAGCTGATCGATGTTTCTCTCTCATCGATGTTTCTAACTCTCTATCTCTCTCCCTCTCTGTAAAAAATCAATAAAATATATTTTTAAAAAAAAGATACATCAATTCATTTACTTTCTAAATGTATATTCACATGTGTACATGAGTACTAAGAATATTCATAAGAAACCATCAGTGGTTATTTCTGGGTAAGAGAATTAATGGTTAACTTATATATTTTTACTGGTGTTCCACAAAAATTTATCTATATATCTATATATCTAAAACCCTAATATGCAAATAGACTGAACTGCAGAACAACCGAACAACTGGTTGCTATGTCGTGCACTAACCACCAGGAACATGGCAGGCGTCAGCCATGACAGGATGGTGGAGCAGGTGAGCGGGGTGTCAGACCAAGGTGGGGTGCCGGTTACTGTAATCAGGGTGAGCTTCTGGTGGTTACTGAAAATTCTTTGCTCCCATATGCCACAGTCCCGCCCGGCGCTTGCACCCGCCGCCAGTGACAGTCCTGCTTGCACCTGCTGCCGGCACTGGAGCTGCCATTCACACCCACTGCCGGTGCCAGCCCCACCTGCACCCGCTGCCAGTACCTGGCGCGGTCAGCAGATATGAGTGGTGGCTGCCGGCCCGGATTGCCTTTGAGGG